ACTACTACTACTACTACTACTACTACTACTACTACGACTACTACGACTACTACGACTACGTTGGCTACGACTGCGGCTACTCTTACTACGCCTACTACTGCTACTGGTATTTGCATACTACTACTACGACTACTACTACTACTACTACTACTACTACTACTACTCCTACTACTACTATTTCTACTACTACTACTACTACTACTGGTACTACTACGGCTACTACTACTACTACTATTACTTGTGCTACTACTACTACTACTACTACGACTACTACTACTACTACTACGACTACTACTACTACTACTGCTACTAGTACTACTACTACGAATTGTATGACGGCCTACTACTACTACTACTACTACTACTACTACCACTACTAGTACTACTACGATCACACCTACGACTACGACTGCGATTATTCCTACGACCATAATTCCGAAACTACTACTACTACTACTACTACTATTACTTGTGCTACTACTATTTCTACTACTACTACTTTTACTAGTAATACTACTACAACTACTGCCACATCCCATATCACTACGAAAACTAGCACAAGTTGTATCACTACTGCTACTATGTCTGCTACTAAAACTGCTGCTGCTACTACTACTACTACGGCTACTACTACGACTACTAGCACTACTACAGTACTAGTAATAATAGCAATAATAAGAATTACGACTACTACTACTACTACTACTGCTACTACGACTACTACTACTACTACTACTACTATTACTACCACGGCTATTAGTTCTACTAGCATGACGACTACTATGACTTCTACGACTACTACTACTACTACTACTACTACTTCCACTACTACTACTACTACTACTACTACTACGACTACTACTACTACTACTACTACTACTACGACTACTACTACTACTACTACTACTACTACTACTACTACTACTACTACCTACCTACCTACCTACCTACTACTACGTATTACTACGTACCACTACTACCACTACTACTACTACTACTACTGCTGCTGCTACTACTACTACTACTACTACTACGATTACTAATACTAATACTAATACTAATACTACGACGACGAGGACGACGAAAACAACTACTACTACGACTACTACTACTACTACTGCTACTACTACCGCGACTACGACTACGACTATTTCTACTAATGCGACTACTACTACTACCAATACTGCCACTGTTACAACTACAGCGAGTAGTGCGATTCCGATAAGTATTATTTCGACTGCTGGCACTACCACTACTACTACTATCCCGGCGTCTACTGCCACTACTACCAGTATTTTCTCTCCCACTTGTACTACGAGTACGACTTTTATTACCACTACTATTACCACGACTACTACGACAAGTACTGCTACTATTGTTATGAATAGTATATCTACGGGTGTTATGACTACTACTACTACTACTACGACTACTACTACTACTACTACTACTACTACTACTACTACCACTACGTCTGCTACTACTACTACCACCAACACTACTGCTAGTACTACTACTAGTAATAATACTACTAGTTAGTACCACTACTACTTAGGACTACTACTACCACTACTACTACTACTACTACTACTACTACGGCCACTACTGCTACGTGTTATATTGTTGTTGATGTCGTTACTACGACTGGTACTTCTACTTCTACGGTTACGGTTTTTAGTACTATCGCTACGACTCGTAGTACTTCTACTACTACTACTACTACTACGACTACTACTACTGATACTACTACTACTATGTTTACTAGTACTACTACTACTACTACTATTACTACTACTAGTACTACTACTACTTCTACTACTACTACTACGACTAATACTACTACCTACTAGTACCTACTATTACCTACTACCACGTACGTGTTACTATTACTACTACTCCTACTACTACTACTACTACTACGACGACGACGACGATGACTACTACTGCTACGACTACGACGACGACGTCGACTACTACTACTACTACTACTGCCACTACTACGGCCGCTACTACTATTACCACTACTACTACTACTACTATTACTACTACTACTACTACTACTACTACTACTACTGGTGTTACTACTACTACTACTACTACTATGACTACTACGACTACTACGACTACTACTACTACTACTACTACTACTACTACTACTACTACCTACCACTACCTACTACTACTACTACTACTACTACTACTACTACTACTACTACTACTACTACTACTACTACTACTACTACTACTACTACTACTACTACTACTACTACTACTACTACTACTACTACTACTACTACTACTACTACTACTACTACTACTACTACTACTACTACTACTACTACTACTACTACTACTACTACTACTACGACTACAACTACTACTACGACGAGTATTACTACTATTATAATTACTACTAGTACTGCTACTACTGCTGCTACTACGACGGCTACTACTACTACTACTACTACTACTACTACTACTACTACGACTACAACTACTACCACTACTACTTCTACTACTACTACTACTACTACTACTACTACTACTACTACTACTACTACTACGACTAGCACTACGACTACGACTACTCCTACAATACCTCGTACGTGCGTTCGTCCTGAATCTCTTTCGGCAGCCTCAATTCTTTGCGCTAGAGTTGACCATCGGGGGTTGGCCCCGTTGTGCGATTGATCCTGTCGTGGTTGATTTGGTTTGCCAACGCCGCTTGCCACATGCTCATGACTGTCGGCTCGCGGAGAGCGACCGCCATGGAGATCGCAACCTTGTTCGAAGCTTTCGACGCCTTGTGGCGCGTGCGGTGCAGCACGCGCATCACAAAACCGCTGGGCTGACGGCGAAGCAGCACTGTGTCCCAGCACTCGCGGACCACCGCGTAGCCTTTGCCGTCGGGGTGCGATCAGTTCTACGGTGCTGTGTTCATCACCCTCTTGATACCATGAACGAGCACCGCCTATTCTATTATATTATATTTTCGGGCGTGTGTGAATGCTGCTGGGCGGGGCGCGCTTCAACAAAATCAGACCCCAGGGAAATTGCCACCCGGTTCATGTGGGAGGCCACGCAACAACCGAGACAGAACCGCTTTCCCAGCTTTGGCTGGAGGCTCGCATGCCATCTCGTATGCATCTCTAAGGTCTCGCGGGGCCTCCGTACAGTGCTGCCCACACACCTCGCAGCACAGCACACTTCGGAGCGTAGCACCATTCATGTCAGCATGTGGCACAATGATGGTCTAAGGTGCTAGTCCCCCCACCGTCCTCCACCGACGGCGGGCCAATCTCGTCAGGCGGGCGATCATCGCTTGGCACATCAGGAGGAGGGCGATCGGGAAACCGCTATGCAGGCTGCTCCGCAAGCGCACGGGGTTTGCAAGGAGATGGCCAAAACTCTGACAGTTGATTTCTGTTCACAAAGGACCAAGGGCAGAGAGCGCACTCGATGATCGAGGATCGGATGGAAACAGGGTGACCGATTGTGGCCAACCTACAGCACCGCTCCTCAAGAGCAGAAGCCTTACAAGCCCTGTCGTGTGAGACATTTTCGGGCCTCTCACTCTGGGGTTTGAACAAGCATTCACGCTGGACCGACAAACGGTTTCAATATAGGCGTTCCCATTAGCAAGCGAGTCCTCCTAAGAAGAACCTCGGCGGACTTATTACATAACATTCAATACAGCTCAGTACCACTTATAGGATGACGAAGGCCATCACATAGATGGGGAAACCGAGAGGTACCGATACCACTACCCCCCAGACCTCTTACGGGGTGTGTGCTGACTGGAATTTCGATGCGAATCCAGCGGTAGAGACGAGGGCTTCCCAGGAGGCCCAAAAAGGCGAGCACGAGGGGATGGTAGCAGTATGGGTACAGTGCACTCCTCTGGGAAGAGTGACCCGTGAGTCTTGAAGTCCACGTCCTGCCCTTTGTGTTTCTGCTCGCGGAGGGTATTCGAGACTCTGTGGGACTCGTCGACCGCCCGCCTTGCACGTGGCGCCCAGCAGGCAGGAGGTCGATGAGGAGGAGAATGAGGAGGAGGAGGAGGAGGAGGAGGAGGAGGAGGAGGAGGAGGAGAAGGAGCAAGTGGTCGAATACCGATTTCTGACCACATCCACCTCTGGATCCTCGATTCTATGATAGGCCCTCGGGGATGGAAGTGGGTAGTTGTTCCTTCCCCTGGGGCGGGAAAACTGCCCACCTCCACTGGAAACCGCTTTTCGCAAGGCACCTCGGGAAGTGGGTGTGGTCAGAAATCGGTCTCCTAAGAGGATGAGGAGGAGGAGGAGGAGGAGGAGGAGGAGGAGGAGGAGGAGGAGGAGGAGGAGGAGGAGGAGGAGGAGGAGAACGAGGAAGGAGATGAGGAGGAGGAGGAGGAGGAGGAGGAGGAAGAGGAAGAGGGGGAGGAGGAGGAGGAGGGGGAGGAGGAGGAGGGGGGGGACGACGAGCTGGAGTGTAAGGGAGGAGAAAGGGCGCGGGAGGCGGGAGATGAGGAGGCCAGGGAGGGAGAGGGGGAGGGCGGAGGAGGATCCAGGACGAGATTCTCCCCTCCCCCACACTCCTCATCTGCGTCCCCCGAGGAAATGCAGGAGGGGATCACGGACGGAGATCCAGGTGGAGGGGAAGGCGAGGAGGAGGAGGAGGAGGAGGAGGAGGAGGAGGAGGAGGAGGAGGAAAGAGCACTGATGGAGATGAGTACGTAGGTCATATAAAGGATGCAGATGAGTACGCAGCAGGAGGAGGAGGAGGAGGAGGAGGAGGAGGAGGAGGAGGAGGAGGAGGAGCAGGAGGAGGCAGAGGAGGACGAGGAAGACGAGGAAGACGAGGACGAGGACGAAAAGGAGGAAAAGCAGGATGAGGAGAAACAGGGTGGGGAGGGCGGAGGAGGAGGAGGAGGAGGAGGAGGAGGAGGAGGAGGAGGAACGCAGAGTGGCGAAGAGAAGGGAATGAAGAGGAAGATAGGGGGACCCCCCCCCCAGCCGAAGGAGGGTCCACCGCCAGAGAGCCCCCGAGGCAGCGCCGCCGCTCCGCGGCGCGCATGCGTCGGCGCGGCAGGTGCCTAGCCGACGACGTCGTCGTCGTCGCCACCGCCGCCAGACCCCCCCCACGCGTCGTGAAAAGCGTGCGACGAAGGTTTTGGGCGATGGTCGGCCTCCTTGAGCCGTTTTGGGACCCACGGGCCATCAAGGAACACCTCGCGAAGAAACTCCGATCGTGGGGAAGGGGTCCAGACTTCTCGGGTCCATGTGGTGGAAGACTCACTCTGTCGGGGGTCTGGGCCACCGCCGCCGTCGTCGTCGTCGCACGCTGCCTGGCCTGGTCCCGTGGTCCCCTCGTGCAGCGGTCGTTGTTGCTGACCCCCAGGCTTCCCGGCACTTCGACAAATCACAGTGGCAAGCATGCCAGAATTTCGGCGTCAAGGGAGGCGTTCCGAGCCGCTCGTGCGAGAGGGATGGCCCCCAGAGCCGACGTGCCAAAATGGCTCGGTGTCCGGGATCAGGCACGCTCAGGGCTCCCGCCTCCAGCTGTCCGAGGAGCTGTCGGAGCCTCAGTGGACGAAGACCACAGGCCCCGAGCGGGGCAGGAACACTAGTCAGGATACGGTCGGACCAAGGTATGATATCGAGGTCGGTTCGGGGAGGGTGCCCTAATGTTCTTCGTGGTTGTTGGATGTTCTTGTGCATCTTGGGGAGGGTACCCTTGGATGTTCTGTGTGTGTTGTCCGGCGAAGGGCCTCATGTTCTTGAAGGATGGTATTATGTCTTAGGTCCAGCCGTAGTTTTCAAAGCGCCCCAGATCTGAGCGAAGCAGCAGCAGCAGCAGCAGCAGTGGGCCCCGGGGAGGGTTGCGAGCTCAGACGTCCGACGTCACGATGTCTTCGTGACGCTGGCCCCCGGACCTCTAGACCATCTATTGGGGACGGCTTCTCGTACCAGGTAGTTCGTTGACGGTCCCAGGGCACGACACTGGCATCCGAAGGCCCAACCTGAGGAAAAAGCAGCCGCCTCGATTGGTTCGTCACCCGCTGGATGCCTATGAAAGTGGCCAGGCCAGCTTCGCCCGCGGCGGGCGCGGCTGGGGCGTGCCGGACGGCGAGCCCCAGGAGACGCTCTCTGGCCATCAATGACGGCGGCGGCGACGCCGCCGGGCATCGGGCTGCAATGGCGGACGACCGACGACCACGACAGACGACCGACGGCGACGGCGACGTCGACTGCGGAGATGGCGGACGCACGACGGACGATCGACGACGGACGGCGGACGACGACGACGCCGACGCTGAACGGCGGACGCCTGGCGGACGCCAGAGACGGACGACGGACAACGAATGGCCCCCTGGACGACGGGCGACGACGAGGCCGAGTGTGACGGCGGCTGTTGCCCGGTGGCGTGCACCCGGTGCCCAGCCGCGCACAACGCATTACGAAATCTGCTGCATGCAGCTGGTTTCGGCCCCGCCGCCGGGCCTATTCCTCGATACACGGGCGCCTCCCGGCGCCGGGAAGCGCTGGGAAAATCAGCTACGTGTGTTGATTCTCTACCCCACGCTTTGCTATCCCCCCCTTTCGTTCCCCCCGTATCCAGAGCTGGCCTTGGGGTGCTCCTTCAGCGTCGGGGGCTTGACGCGGCAGCTTCTCGGGGGCTTTCGAAGGGAGCCTGGAGACTTTCTCGAGTGCTCCTTGGGCCCCTTGGGATTGTCTCAGTCTCCTGTGGGTCTGCTTGAGGTACACAATGTTCGCTCTTAAGTGGGAACCGATTACGATCGGATCCTTCTTGAGCCAGGGGCCACGGAGAGTCTACCAAGGAATGCTATTTCTCCTAATTAGCGCTTGCACTAAAGAGACTGAAAGACTACAGAAAGGTTTCAGACCGACTTCGGTGGGCAGTCAAGGTTCTTGGGTTCCCAGTTCAGGGACTGGAGTTCCCGGCGCAGTAAGTTTCCCAGGTTCACGAGTTCTGGGTTGTGGATTATGTAGTGGCCAGTTCCTTGCGACCACGGTCATGATGAGATACTAGATCGTATGGGGTGAGGAGGATAAATCAGATAGTAGAGAGCAGGGTTGAGCGGAGAGAGGGGGAGATATTCGACTGTAAATCATGGGAGCCTTGTATGACATCGGAATCCTGTTTTTAGAGCGCACAGGTGTGCGCTAGCGTGTCATGGTCACTGGGAATGCGTCGATGTAGCATCGCTTAGCGTCGATTTAACGTCGGTAAGCGTCGATTTGCGTCGGCACTCGCAGGGGCCAGCAAGATGGGACTGGAGGCTCCCATGAATTGCACCGAGAAGAGAGAGAGAGAGAGAGAGTAAGAGAGAGAGAGAGAGGGAGAGGGGAAACAAAACACATAAAGAAAGAGAAAGGCAGACGAAGAGAGAGAGAGAGGGAGGGGGACAGAGAGAGAGAGAGATAACAGACAGTATAGATCTAGATCATAACGGATTGATATTGTAGATGGAGAGGGAGTGAACACGGGATAGAGAGGGAGAGAGAGAGAGAGACACATACAGTTATAACAAACAAATCAATGAGTAGAGAGAGAGAGAGAGAGAGAGAGAGATCGCACAGAAGAGACATACATAAAAAGAGTGTGTTACCAAGGAGCGCGCGCACGCACCCCGCCCCCTCGACAGAACCGTGCGGGGTGGATGTTCCTGTGCGCGCTCCCGAAATTCGTGTCCCAGCCCCCCCCCCCCCATCTGACTCTGCTTCGCTCGAGAGTGAGCTGCCTCCTCTCCTCTACCCCCGCGCCGTTCCCTCGAAAAGGGGAAACGACGAAAAATGGTGGCGTGCGCCGCATCCACTGAAATCTTGCCGTGCGACTATGAGTATCGGGGCCTCTCGCCGCGAGTGAAATCTCGCGCGTCGCTGCGCGATTGGTCAGATGTCGGGAATGGAACGCGACATGTGGAATGCGATTCGTCGCGTTGGGGCTGGTGCGCGATTCCGGAATTCCTCGTGCCAATGGGGCGGCGCCAGAGCGCGCGCGGGAGCACTCGCGCGTCGCATCGGCGGCGGTCTCGGAGCGCGTTGATTCGCGCGGGGGTCTCGCTGCGCGAACGAATTGGCGCGTCGCCGCGCGACTATAGGCGCGAGCTCACGGTTCGCGGGAAGTCCGCGATGCTCGAGGTTTCATATGGCGCAGGTAGTGCGCGACTGATTACGTGCAGCTTCTTTGCGCGAGCTGGCAGCGCTCGAGCGCGCGAGGGGGGATTTCGTGTGTCGCATGGACGGCGATCCCACAATGAGATTTCAACGCTGCCGTGTTGATCCGCGATCAGGATGGCGCTTCATTGCGTGAGTCGACACGCGCGCGTGCACGCGGATGTCTCCGCGGATGCGTCGCAACCGCGTCGCATGTGCGGGCGTTCTGCCATGCAACCACCGAGCGGGGGGAGGGAGGTCGGCATGCACAAAAGTTGCAAATCTTTCTCGGGATCCCCCAGGCCGTGTCAGGATTCTTCGAGCGCGTCAACACGTTGGTTTCGGTCATTGTTCTCAGAAGCTGTCTGTAGCTCCACACTTTCACTCTGGCGGCGTCGCCGCTGCGTCTCATCTCCTATGGCCTCCTGTGGCCAACTATGGTTTCATGATGGTTCTTGCAATTTCCTGGGGCCTCCTGCGGCTCTCTGGGGCTCTCTGGGGTTTCCTGGGGTTTCATCGGGTTCCCTTGGGCTCTCTGGGGGGTCCTCATAAGGCTTCCTGAGGCTCCCTCGGGCCCTGGGGTTGTGTATGGGTTCTGGGACCCCTGTGGTTCCGGGGGGGTCCCTAACTTCTTGGTGTCTCCTGTTGTTCCCTGAGGCTCCTTGGGGTTTCATGGGGTTCCGTGGGGCTTCTTGGGAGTCCCTAGAGGTTCCTGAAGTTCCCTGAGGCTCCCTGGGGCCCTCCTGGATTTCTGGGAGCTTCATCTGGTGCCCTGCGGTTTCCTGGGGCTCCCTGGCGCCTGCTGAGGTTGCCCGTGATTTTCAGGTGCCTCCTGAGGCGTCCTGGGGTTCCATTGGTCTTCCCCGAAACTCATGGGGTTCCTTGAAGTTTCGTTACGTCGGGCCACCTGGGGCTCCGTGAAGATATTTGGGTTTTTTCGTGAGTGTTTCTTGATTCTTTCGTATTCACTCAGGCTTCCTGTCGCCTTCTGCGGTTCCTTGGGACTCCCTTTTTTTTCTGGGCTCCCTGGAGCTTCCTGGGGCGTCATTGGGTTTCCTGGGGCTCGCTGGAGCCTCGGAGGGGCTCGTTGGGGTTTCAAACTTTCTTGGAGCCTCCTGGGGTTCCCTGGGGCTCCCTGGGGCTCCCTGGCGCCCTGACGCTTCCGGGTGTTCCCTAAGATTATCTCGTGCCTCCAGAGGTGTCGTGGAGTTCCCTGGGTCTTCAAGAAACTCTGGCTCCCTGGGGTTTCAAGAAACTTTAGCTCCCTGGGGCTTTCTCTGGTTCCCTGAGACTCCGCGGGGTTCCCTGTGGTTTCCTGAGCCTCCTGCGGCTCCGTGGGATTCCATGGGGGTAGCTTGGCTTCACTACGCCTCCCTGGGAGTGCCAGGTGCCTGCTGAGCAACCGCAAGTCTCTCTCTTCCCAGGGCCTCTCTGTAGCTCCCTGGGGCCTGCATTGAAACCTCCCTGGGGTTGTGGAAACTGCCGAGGCTCCCTGGAGGAGTTTCAGGGATGGGCCATATGCCTCTTCAGCTCCAGGGGGCCTCTGGAGACCGCGCCTTTTTGGAACCACCCCCAGGCCAAAAAGTTCCAGAGAGAGAGAGAGCAATTCTCTGTTGCGCGACGCACAACGAGAGTGAGGCGTAGTCCAGCTTCCGCACCTCTAGGTGGCGGGCGAGCCGACTCTCGCTCGCTGTCGTAACTCACATGGCACTCCGCTTAACGCTCCGACCATCAATCGGTCGCTGCCTAGCGGTAGTCGGACGAGTTGCTCGCTCAGGAGAGGAAGGGAGAGAGAGAGAGAGAGAGGAAGAGCGAGGCATTAGTCATACGTGGAGAGACATGTGTCTGTATACGCACGCACATGCAGATACCTCGACATGCGCATACACGAATACAAAACTGTGTACACACATTTCCACTACATAGTTCTTGTTCGCATGCATACCTGTGCATACATTTGTGGAGAGATAGACAAATATGCCATGCATATACATGAGAGAGATGGGGCAGAGAGAGAGAGAGAGACAGAGTGGCATACAGACAACGAGAGAGAGAAAGAGAGAACACCACACAGTATAAGTGTTCATACATACAAGAGAGAGAGAGAGAGAAAGAAGGAGATAACCCAACAAACTAAAGTGCGCGAAGTGAGAACAAGTTACTTCCCCGATCAACGCTTGCACCGAAGGGTTTTTATTGGCGACTGGCAGTAGGCGAGAGTTGCGTGGCCGATTTCGGAGGGCGGCTGGGTTCCCAGGTTCCCGGTCCCAGGTCCCGGGCCGATCTCGGTGGGCGGCCGAGTTCCCTGGTTCCAGATACGGTGTTCTTGGCACGGTAGGGTTCCAGTGTTCTCGGCTTGCTCGGTGTTTGCGGCCAGCTTCAGAATGAGGCAGCATGTAGAGTAGACGTGCCAGACAGTAGAGAGCATATTATGCAGAGAAGAGAGGACATACAGTACGGGTTGGCTAATCAGAGGGCAGGGCCGTTTGAGACGATAGACCGGGAGATAGGGAGAGAGGGACAGAGGGACAGAGGGGGAGAGATTGAGTGTACATACGCACGTATGTAATACATATACATGTATATACATATATGCATAAACGTATCAATCTATATATATATATCTCGAGAGAGAGAGAGAGAGAGAAACAATGAAGAATACCAAGGGTGAACAATGTCGCATATAGACATACATGCATGCGTACATATGTTCTACACGCACGCTTATATCTACCTATACGACCACCCTTTGAGTGATGAGGCGGTTATAGGGAGGCGGGAGAGGGGGGGAACCAACATCTGACTCAATCGATCTCACGATCGATCTCACTCAACGGGACACCACGGGACACCACGGGCCACCGCGGGTCACCGCGGGACACCTCTCGATCTCATTATCGGTCTCACTGTCGATCTCACTATATCGATCTCACTCAAAGGGACACCATAGGACACCACG